ACAGTAGAAGTACGCATACTAGCATACTCAAACTTCTTTTACAGTACTATTAACATAAGTGATACTAATAATAGTACCAATCATAATAATCAGAACAACAGAGAGCGATCTGAGAGGGTGTCGTTCGATACCAGGCTACCAATATTTGGAAGACGGTAGTATTGAATGCCCTCTGAACCGCGACCTTTAAACTAGGAGCTCCATTCACCTTGAACCTGGGGCTTAGGGTTTAGGGACCCCAAGCCTTTTGGGTTACCGGGTTTGGGCTTTAGGGCTTAGGGTTTAGTGACCCTAAACCTTCGGGGTCTTGGCTTCGATGTTGCAGCTCGGTTCAGGCTCTCAGCTTGTTGGGGGTGTCGAGGAGCGGTGGTGGGTTGGGGGGGGGGGGTTGGGTTCTTGAGCCATCTGAAGAGTTTTACAGGGTTTAAAGTTTGGGGTTACGGTAGCGCCTTGCGAGATCAAGTTGAAGGCTGTCGCTTGCGTGGGAAGACGTCCGTTCGCGGCACCTTGGTATGAACCTCTTCGTGGTCGTAGTGGTGGTGGTTGTAGTACTAGTAATTAGTAGTAGTCGTCGTCGTCGTCGTAGTGGTTGTGGTTGTGTTGTGGTTGTGGTTGTGGTGGTTGTTGTTGTTGTTGTTGCTGTAGTAGTTGTAGTAGTAGAGGGGCAGCAGTGGTGGCGTTGTTGGTGGTGGTGGTACTAAACGTGGTCGGCCTCCTCGTGAAAGGCATGCCAGCACGCTCGCTGCCATCTTCAAGGCTTGCAAATGATCTAAGGCTTAGGTGTGCCAGAGCCAGGTCAGAGCGAATACATAAAGAAAGTTCAGCTGTCCAAATTCCCTCTATATATATATATAAATAAACACACACACATACATACATACATACATACATACATACATACATACATACATACATACATACATACATATATATATATACACACATGCATGTTTACACTATACAGAGGTACATATCTGCATGCACATATATATGTATGTATGTACTTGCAGACCTAGCCAAGAAGTTCTGGCTTTCAGCGGCCTGAAGGACGGCATCCTGGGTGATGGCATGTTTGGGGAATGGACCCACCGCACCGTGGTCCTGGTCTTCTGTGGATTTATCCTGAAGACACTTTTCAACCAGCAACTTGGAGAGATTTTGATGTCATGGTTTACTGGCTTACGACTTGTTTTTCCGGTTCTTCAGGTGTTGTGGCACGGGAGTTCGGATCAAAGGATGCATGGCCTCATGATCTTCAGGGGAAGTGCGGTTTAAGGCTTTAGGGCCATGAGGGCCTTTAGGGCTTTGGGGTTTCGATGACCATTGCCTAACTTGGAGCCGAAGCATTTTGGGATGTGGCATGGACCTGAACTATACTTCCGCCTTCTCAGGTCGCTATTGTGGAACATACCCGAAATTCGCTCCCCCCCAACACCCCCTGTTCCACCTGCTACCCACGACTCATTTGGGATACAGGGTGCTGTACCTATAATCTAGATTTGCAACAACCAACCAACACCTTCTTCGACCAGGTACTTGCTGAAGGTGCTGGATGCCATCTGGAACTCGAGTTGCAAGAAGTTTCATAGTTCATAGTCTGAGGACTTTTGAGTTTGAGCCCTGCCGAAAGCACAACTATCTAACGACGGAAGCGAGAGACGATAAAACTCAAGTTCGTAGATTAAGTCTGCGTCTGAGATCAAGATCGGCCCTGCTAGTATGCCCGAGGCGGTAGACGTCTGATTATTGAAGCCCCTCTCCCTCAGTAATCGAGAACGGACGGAGATCCGAATGTCATTGCACTTGAAGTAAAACGGCGTTCTACTTACTATTCCGGCTGATCGAAGCTGAGCCCAAAAGACTCCGACACTATGTCTTTGTGTGCGAGGGGGGTGGTGGGCGGTAGTTGAGTCGAAGGGGTGCACCCGTGGTTTGCTGCGGCTCATGCATCAATTGAGCATTATGAAGTCACATGGCGGTGGGTTGGTTCGGGTGGACCCTTAGCAGTGGTACTACCAGTGTGCCGGAAGCCTTGCGTGCCTCGTGCGAGTGTGAGTGTCGCAAAAACTGATGCTTGACATCTTATCTCCAAGCTCTTCAGGAAGAACATCAGCGAGGCCATCGGCGTGATCCTTGTGTACTTTGGACGCGTCCTCTTCCTGGGAGGAGCCTCGAATTCATTTAGCTTCGGTGGTGGGCGCTTTAATTCGCGCTTCTGCAGGTAGTTCCAGGTAGTTACGCCATGCCTTCTACCATCGACACTGCTGCTGTGATTCCTGTGCTTCCGAATGATAAGCATTGTGAAGATCACCGCTGTTGAAGTTTTGGCAGTGTCTAGAAACTACTGTTACGATTGCCGTTGCCATCGCCGCGTCCGCTGCTCTGGGTGTTGTGCCTTCGGTACATTTTCTTGATTCTTCCTCGCAGCTTCTGCTTCCATGTCAAATTATTGCACTCGCCCGTTGGCAAATATCTGGCGACCTGAAACAAAGAACTCCAAGACATATCGTTCTTTTCCAAGCAGTTAAAGCCCGGGTTGAGGAAAGTACGACCCCACCGTCTTCAATGCCGGTGTCACCGTTGTCCTGGCTTGCATTGCCTACGTCCTCTCCAAGGACTGAGATGTGAGATTCCAGGCTTCGGCCTCTCGCGGTGTTTCAAGTTCAGTAGACGATTTTAATAAGGCTTTTCCTTAAGGGCTGAAGCGTTCTGCTTGTCGTACAAAAACACCAAAACCCTGTTCGAATTGTTAAGGCATCCAGTGTACATGCATGTAAATGCTCATCATGCCATCAGAATTGGTAGTTCCGTGTGTCTTGAACTTGCCATGTGTCGGCGATGCCAAACTAAACATCATGTGAAGTAGAGTCTTTCGAGCTTTGGACCATTTTGAGCAGCAAGGCTCCAAAGGCCCCAGACCCAACAGACCAGGAGGGCAAAGCCAAGAAGAGCGATGTTGGCGACGATCTCAACCCCGCAATGTACCCGGACCTCACGACGCCCCGTGGCCGCTACAAGGCTGTACGGTTTAGAGTTCATGGTATGCACCTGCATCCCTCAACTGCACACCTCGAATGCTTTGCCGTGTCAGGGTTGCTAACCTGAAGCCCCAAATTCCACGCCGCGGTTTAAACTACCTCTGGCGCCGGATGAGCTTAAACAATTTTGCTACTTGAGAGCTGATGCTCACTTTACGGACTAGGGTGTGAGGGAGGGGGAGGAAGCCAAATTGGTGGATATCGTTTTCGGTTTCTCGATCTCTTGCATCTTCGGTTTTGGATAGGCTCTTTCGTCACAGCAGATTCACGTCAAGGACATATGACGGTTTTCTCCGTCGCCAGCTTGTTTGGAAGGATGCGGAGCCCAGCTGATATGCAGTGATACTAAACTAAAATATAATTATATAGTATATATGAGCAATGCCATAGAAGATAATGTTCAGTGCGTGTTGGGGTTACCGATCTGCCGCGCAGTCCAAACCCTGGCAGGCACGCTCGGGAACTGGGACGATTTCACGTGATAGTACATGCCCTTTCCGTGGGAAGCAAGACAGACTAGTCAAGCAATCATGTTCAGGCACCTTAGAGAAACGAGCAAAATCACCATGCGTGAAGCTTCAACGGCCTGGCCCCAGTCATCGCCCCGAAGACTGTGAAAACTACCCTCCCCGTGCCGGCAAATCTTAAAACCACCCCAACCCCGGAAAAGCTCCATTCCAAAAGTCCCGCAGCCTTACACTTTACCCCAGACCCCGAAGGACCCTAAACTTTACCCTAAACACTAAACCCTAAACCCTAAACTCCTAAACCCTAAACCCTAAACCTTATCCGACAAAGAGTTGCAATCAGAAGGAAGCTCAGGGCTCCAAAAAAACCCCCAGGTCCCTGCTGCGACACCGCCGTCCGTGAGGGAACTGACCGGGGGCCTGATGCCACTGCTGTCTCAAGGGGGCTTTAGGGTTCAAAAAGGTTAGCCGAAGCCCTCGAGGTGAAACTTCAGGGTTCTAAGGGGGACTGGGGAAGTGTGGGTGCAGTGAGGTTGAGGGGCGAGTCAAGACATGAGGATAATTGCGTGGTTCAGGAGCATGTGCTTGTTTGTTTGGGGTTTCGCCTTGCTCAACCATCATTGATCATGTTCGGAGCGCTGGCACCCCTCAAGTAGATGGGTTGAAGCAAAGTGTTTGCCAATACTGTCGTGCACAGCCGTTTGCGTACCTACCTGACTACCTGCCTACCTACCTACTTACTTGTCGCTAGTTAGCTAGCTAGCGAACTGTCCATCCATCCATTCATCTATCCGTCTATCCCTCCATCAACTAACTAACTAGTGACACACCTATCTCTCTATCGAACTATGGACCGTCGGACTATCTGGCTATTTATCTGTCGATCAGTCTCCTTATCTATCTGTTAGTCGATCTGTCTATCTACCGACTACCGAGCTATCTACCGTTCTTTCTATTTGGCTATCTTCGGTCTATCTACCTACCTTTCGGTCCCTCTATCTTTCTATCCTCTCCCTTTCTCTCTACCTATCCATCTATCTATCTCTGTATCTATCGATTTTTCGATTGGTCGATCTATCTTCCCCTATGTATCTATTTATCTATCTGCCTACCTACCTAGTTATCTACCTACCTATCTGTCTATCTTTCGATCGATGTATCTATTTATTTTATTATTTTATCTATCTAATCCCATCCAGTCTAATCTAACCTAACCTAAATCTAATTTAATCTAACCTAATCTAATCTATCGGTCTAATCTTTCGACCTATCGATCTATCGATCTATGTATCTGCCTATCTATCTATCTATCTATCTGTCTGTCTACTTATCTACCTATCTACCTAGCTATCCACTAGTACCTACCTGTCTAATTATCTATCGATCTCTCTCTATCTACCTCCCTACCTGCCTATCAACCAACACACACACAGAGACACACACACACACACCCACCCACACACACACAAATGCATACCCGCAGGCATACGGTCACAACTACAAGCTGAATATGTGTTCACAAATACAGGGCCAAGGAAGGCACATGTTGTTCCAAAGCTGGCCAGATCACCTGCAATATTCTGCCTGAGCAGGTTTCTGCGTTTAGGGCCCTAAACCCTAAACGAGCCTGAAGACATGGCACCTTTGAAGTCAGAGTTTGGTTTTAGCCTTAGGTCCTTAGGTGTTGGGTTTGTTGTTCGGGGTGCAGCTTATGGAAGCCATTGAACCTTGGGGTAGGGAGTGGCACACAGACGTGATTTTGACAGAAACACTTTGCCTGCGATGCAGAAAGTTGGTGCAACTCCTAGCAGGACTAGTGAGGCAAGTCTGCTGGCAGAGCCTTGCGACCAATAGTTTGTTTGTCAGTTGTTTCAAGCGGCGGTTTGGCAATATAGCCGAGAGATCATCCTATGTGCTGCCTGCCGGAGTCTCAGTGCACCTTCGTGTATCCTTGTGAGAGTCTTTCCAACCGATGGATTGCCCTCGGTCACTTGATGTGCTTTTGGCCAGCTACATCTTCCTCATGTTCCAACTGCATCTTGACAGCCCCCACCCTCCCTCGCCCGGAGAAGATCTCCTAGCCAGCTGGACATTGGCGATTTGAACGGTAAATGCGCTTGACAAACTTCACTGCGACGGAGTCGACAAATCAGGATGCCTGCTTCGTGCCTCTCTCTCTCTCTCTCTCTCTCTCTCTCTCCGTCTATATATATATATATATGTATATATTCATATATATATATATCTCTCAAATCCTCGTCGTTAAAAGAATTGTTCCAGCGCGCGGATTGTCCAGACTTGTCTTAATTCGTTTATGTGCATACTATTGCATACTTGTTCGACAGTCCCATGGTCCTAACCAGTTGCCCGCGATTTGCGAGCACACTATATCCAATATCCATCAATCAGGTTGTTCAGCCTGTGTTATACTAATTGTTTTCAGTTGATTGATGCTAGGTTGCACTTATGGTGTTAGCAGTGTGTTCTTGTTTAAGTAAAGCACGCACTCAAAAGACATACACCAACATAGACTGTAATGTTATGTACAACAACGAACCCACGTGCGCTTTACGTATAGGCCTGAAGAAAGCAGACACAACGGTTAGCATGCTGGCGTGGATTACATATATATATATATAGATAGAGTAGCAATGTGTCCGTATGCAGATATACATGTTCGACTGCTGTGCATAGGAGCAGGAGTTTGTAGGGGTGTTGGTCGGACGATTCGTCCGCAGCCATATGCAACCCTTTTTATACATACAGACATACTACTACATATGTACATACATGCACATTTGTCCACACACACACACGGCGGATATGTATACATGCAAGGATCATATACATCTACATATCTACATAATTACAAGGAGAGGAAAGGGAGGGAGGAGAGAGAGAGAGAGAGAGCGAGCGAGAGCGAGAGCGAGAGCGAGAGCGAGAGCGAGAGCGAGAGCGAGCGCGAGAGCGAGAGGGAGCGCGAGAGCGAGAGGGAGGGAGGGAGGGGAGGCAGGGAGTGATATGATGATTATTGCTACTATTATTCATATAGTTACAACTGGTTTTACTTGTGATAGTATGCCCGATTGCAACATCTGCGCCTAGGCTGGGCTGGCCTCCCGTGACAAGAACCCTCCCTTTGTGCTCATCAGAGGTCTACTTCCACAACACCAT